GCTTGCTGCTGCGGTCATTGGCTCGGAGGGGCCTAGTGAGTCGGGAAGTTCACAATTCTGAGAAATTTGGGACCAACACCTATGTGAGCGCGGTGGTATGGATGAGTAATACATCTCTAGGACACCGATTTTGTTTGACTTTCCAGACTGCTACTCACCAGGTAAATAACTAGCGTCCCTATGGATGTGGTAGGATATCCCACCGACTCAACAATCACAGAATTAGCTCTTCCGTCTAAGCAGTTAGCGCTGATGATGTCAGGCTTGCTGTGGCGATTGATGACAAACGCCCTTTCAAGTTGTTGATAAACCTTCGATGGCTCGTCATAGGGGCTAGGGTGGTAGGGTTATAATGGCTGGCGAACAGTGTCATGGCAGCCCTGGACTTAGTCGAACATGTATACGTGGAGTTCAATGAAGGAACTAACCTGTGAAGTTATAGGGGCGGGGTCTGTATGCACGACTGCGTAGTCGCTCTAGCTAACTGCTAGGAGCCGGAAATGTCAGCGGTATTTTAGGGGCGATTAACTTACCGGGCCGATGATAGTGAGTTCAGTAGACAAATCCATCTGCATTGTAGCGGCTGTAAGCAATGATATCGAATCGAGGGAATACATCACTAGGAGGATTTTATCGGACCATGTTGAAGGATGGAGGTGAAACTTTGCGGACGTCCTTGGTTGTCAATGAAAACGCTTGACATGTTCATTTAGGTGATGCTTATATGTGGTTGGTAACTTAAAGGGAATTGATATACCCGAGCAATTAGGACTTTAATTAGGATGCACAATCTCTCTTTACAGTCGAGAGAACGCCAGAATTGGCCAGTCAATGTACCAGAGTGTCAAGGTACATGTATGGCCGATTAGGTGGTTGCATCGCGTTTGTCGCTTTCCTCTACGTCCGGGTGGAATGTGCCTGAACTCGTCAACTGGTCTGGACCAAGACGACGTGGTCGGTGTCGTAATGATGATAAAATTGGTTCCTGTATATTTGCTGTCCTCTCCACAAAATGATACGTTGCTTTGGAAACAGATCTGCCTGAGGATTTGGTGGTAAGGAAAGTCAGAACAAACAAGAGGGTTGAGGAAAGGACTAACTTCAGACTGGTTTTCGTCACGAAAGTCCGTGAGACTATAGATTTAAGCAGTTCTTAGGATCGATACGTTAGGAAATTGGTCTCTATGTGGGGTGGCGGAAAAGTCAACAAGTATGAAAATCCATCGATGAATTCTCGAAGGCACAACTTAAATGCGACGAAAAGTAGACCAAATTTGTGGATATTGGAATTGCTGGCAGCCGCTTATGGTCGGCAAACATCGGTGAAGACAGGATAGCCTCGCCATCAGAGTCAGCATGGAAGTTGGTGCCAACGATACGACCTGAAAGTAGCAAACGAAGAGGTAGATGATGACCAGCACTCCTATCAGTTGTTACTACTACTGCTGCTGGAAGGGGTCGTTAACCGAGCTCGGGGAAGGAAAATTGAATGAGCATGGTTGCAGTCGTAGACGCGCTGGTGCTCTGAATTTCTCATGATACCAGTACATGTTACTTGGAGACTGTTTCGCGGTGGGTGTCGGAAGTTACGTGGAATTTGATGGCTAAGGTACGATCCGAGAGTAGCAAACGGAGAGCTCGATGATGACCAGCTTTCCTATCAGTTGTTACTACTACTGCTGCTGGGAGGGGTCGTTTACTGAGTTTGGGGAAGGGGAATTGAATGAAAACGGTTACAGTCGTGCTCCGAATTGCTTGTGATACCAGTAAATGTTGTTTGGAGACTGTTTCGCGGCGGCTGCGGGAACTTAAGGAAATCTCTCGACATTCCGGTGATCAGGGCGGGCTTTCACTGGTAAGTGCAGTGATTTGAGCTGTCAGTTTTATGACGGTTCAACCGTCAATTTTGACAGGGTCCACCGTGCGCATCAGTGCGTGTTGGGGAATTGCACCTAAATGAAATTCTAGCGAGAGAACACTTAAGTTACAGCCAGCGCGCTTTTTCCTCCCCTACTGCAATCTGCGTCAAGACCGAGGTAAGAAGACCTGGGAGGAGAGAAGGCGCAGGCAGCTGGCGCGGCCGGAGCTGCCACACTGCCAGGTGCATAAATAACTTGGAGGGTGGCAATGCGACATGGGAAATGCTTCTCCGTGAATCTCAATGCCATGAGCTTAATGGAAAGCTCTGCAGATTTATCATTGTTTGCGCGAGCAACAACCAACACTAACTCGAAGTCAACTGGAAGGCGTTCTAGCATTACGGAGGCCCCGAGTTAGTGCCCGTAAACTGACTGCTGAATTTGAAGAAGAAGAAAAGAAACAAGAGGTTTATTTTCCTGACGATCCGTACGCGAAGAATGTATCGGAAGCGGTCAGCCGTCTACTCACCCCACTTAGATTTGGAGTTGCGCGCAGGCCGGAAGCAACCATCAGGCGCCGGGTCATGAGACCGAAACACCCACTGCCACGACAGGAAACGGCTGGAGTCGTTTACCGGATCTGGTGTATTTGTGGACAAAGCA